AAAACACTGGACACGGTTTTGGGTGAGGTGAAAAACCATCTTTGGCCCCAGTGACTTCTTTTCCCTGGTTTGTTAAATAAACCCCATAGATCTGTTAGCCTGAGCAGTCTTGCAATTGTACACACAGGTGAAGAACTCGGTGACTGGTAAACTCTTTGGCCAACTTTAGTGTCCCTTGCTGCCCTGTTCATTTTCATTGACTTGACTTGACCTTTCACATATCCAGGGGACAATGTCTTTTTCATCCATGTTGAAATTGGATTATTTGTGGTATTTCTGATTGCTTTTGGCTACTGAGTTGTGTGTCTTTATGTATTTTGAATATTAAAACCTTATTAGATACATGGTTTGCAAATATTTTCCCAGTTCAGTAGGTTGTCTTTTTACCTTATTGAGTTTCTTTTAATTCTGCAGACTTTGGTTTGATATATTTGTCAAGTTTCTCATTTTATTGTTGGTGTCATAGCCAAGATCCATGTCAAAGAACTTTTTTCCTCTTAGGAGTTTCATGTCTTTAATTCATTTTGGGTTAATTTTTGATGTATAAGATAACAGTCTAGTTTCACTCTTTTACACCCAATTTCCCCATCACCTTTAGTTGAAGAGACACTTTTCCCAATGTAGTTTCTCGTTAAATATTATCTGTGTATGTTTGTGCATATAACTTGGCTCTTACTCCATTGATCTATTTGCTTTAAGCTTGCACCCTTTTTGATTACTTTCATGCTATAGATAGCTTTTTATTGATATCAGAATGACATTCCTCACTTTGTTGTTCTTTCCCGGGTTTTAGCTATTCAAGGTCTTTTGTAGTTTGTAAAATTTTTATTTACTTTTATATCCAAAAGATCAGTTTTGCTATAAAAAGAAGAGAGAGAAATGTAAAGGGCTCTTGCACAGACACAAGCAGGCAGAAAGCGTCCCTGAAGGAGAACAGGTTTGCGGAGAGGCCTGCATGGGCACAAGCAGGCAGAGCTGCTGCCTGTGGTTCCTATACAGATTATTTTTCCTATTTCTGTAAAAACGCCACTGCAATATTGACAGGGATTGTACCTTATCCATAAATGGTTTGTAACATCGTTTTGTGTCTTAGTTTTCAGAGTAGGTATTTTACCTCTTTGGTTAAGTTTGTCAGTGTTTCTTACTGTTAAGATCTTTTCTTTAAAAATCTTTTCACCTTGTGGCTCAGCGGATTAAAACACAACACTAAAAATCTTTTCACATAACTTGTCACTGTATAAAGATACTGATCTTCATTTATTTTGTACTCTTTACTGGGTTTTTAACTAAATGTATTTTGGTAACTCAATGATTTTTCTAGATATAAAAGATGTCATTTGCAAGAACAATTTTACTTTTCCAATTCTGATGTCTTTTCATTTTCTTGCCTGACTGCCCTCACAATGACTTCCAGTACTATTCTGAGTAGGAGCAGCGAGTCCGTATGCTTATTCTTGATCTTAAGAGGAAAAGCTTTTAACCGTTCATCACTAGGCCTGTTAGATGTGGGTTTATCATACCTGTTCTTTACTGTTTTGTAATCTTTCTATACCTAATTTTAAAAGGCTTTGTTATAAACAGATGTTCTATTTTGTTAAATTTGTATCTATTGAGATGGTCGTGTAGCTTTTTTTTTCTATGTCAGTAACTGACTTTATGTTGGCCATCCTTGTTTCCCAGTTGATTATGGGCAATGATCTTTTTAAGGTGCTGTTGAACTCAATTTGGTAGTACTCTATTGAGAAATTTTGCGTATATCTGGAATACTGACCTGTAGTTTTTGCTGTTGCTCTGATAGTGCCCTTCTCCTGCTTTGGTTGGTTAGGGTGATGATGGCATCATAAAATGTGCTTGGGTGTATTCTCTCTGAGTTTTTGGAAGAGTATGAGAATTCCTATCAATTCTCCTCTAAATGTTTGGTAAGTTCACCAGTGAAGCTACCTAGTCTTGGGCTTTCCTTTACTGGGAGATTTTTGATTATTCATTCAATAGCCTTACTAGTAATTTGTTGTCAAACTTTCTATTTCTTCCCAGTTCTGTTCTGGTAGTTTCCTAAAACCTTTATTTCTTGTAGATTGTTTAATTTGTTGCCAATTTTATTTTTCAAAGAATCAAGTTTTTTTTTTCTTTTGTCTCATTTATTCCTGCTGTAATCTTCATTTCTTTCTTTTAAATGTTTGTCTTTGTACACTTTTACTAGTTGCTTAATGTATAGTTAGGTAGCCTCTTTTGGGTCTTCTTAATGTAGGCATTCATTCTAACTTCCCACTTAAAATTGCTTTGCTGCATCCTTCTGTTTTGGTGTTAGGGGCCTCCCTGGTGCCCCAGGGGGTTGTCTTGTGCTATCACCACTGTGCCCCCAGTCCCAGCACCTCTGGCTGACATCTCAGTTGTTCGTGCCAAAGTAAGTTTTGGTATGTTTCCATTTTGGTTTGTCTCAAGATACTGTTATCTCCTTTGATGCTTTGACTTTTTAGGACAATGTACTTTAATTTCCATGTACTTAAGCATTTTCCAGTTTCTTACCACTGTGCTCAGGGAAGTAACTTGGTGTTTTGGCCATACCAAATTTTTTGACATTTGCTTTATACCCTAATATATGGTCAAACCCTGTAAATGACATGCACTTGACAAAAATGTTTTGCTGTTGTTGGACCTATGTATTAGGTCCATTTGGTGTATAGTATTCAAATCCATTGTTACTGATACTGTCTGTTGGATGATATATTCATTGTTGAGTAAGGTATTACATCTTCATGTGTATTATTGCCATTACTATTATTTAATAACTTTAACTTGAAGCCTATTTTGTTAAGTACACTGTGCTTTGCTGTTCTTAACACCTGCTTGAAGCATCTTGTAGGCAGCATATCACTGAATTTTTGTTCAGCCATTCTGTCTTGTTATAGTAGTTGTCAGTATGTAAGCATTTACTATGGTCATTTTGTTAACTGCTTTCTAGTTGTTCTTTTCCTATTTGTCTTGTGCTTTCAATATGGTCAATTCAACTCGTTATTTAGTCTAATTCAGGTTTTTCCCTTGTGATCACCATGAGATTTACATCCAACTATAAATTCATTAATGACTTCAATTGGATTTGTTTTACTTCATTAATGACTTCAATTGGGTTTTACTTCTCTCCCCCTCACATTTTAGGTTACCGTTATTATAGTTTACATGTATTTTACACTGTATAACACTGTAGCGATGGCAAGTTGACAAAAAAACTATTATAAGTGAATTACACACAATTATTGTACTTCATCTACTTTGACCATGTATTTACCAATCATGTGAGTTTTATACTGCCTACTTGTATTTTTCTTAATTGGTACCCTTTTATTACTACTCAAAAGAATTCTCTTTGTCCTGTCTTAAATGTTGCAAGGCAGTTTTAGGGTGACAGCTTCCCTCAGCTTTTGTTTCTCAGGAGTCTTTGTCCCTCCTTTCTAAATGACTTTACTGGGTGTACTATTCTTGGGTTCGTAGTTTTTTTCTTTCAATATTAACCCATCATCAGATTCTCTTCTGACCTGAAAGGTCTTGTTGGAATTCTTATAACTACTCTCTACCACTCTTTTTAAAATTGTCTTTGACAACTTAATGATGTCTCATTGTTTCCATATTTGGACTGAAGAGAATGTGGAAAAAGGAACTATTACATTGTTGGAAATGTAAATTGCATCTTCTATAAATATGTGCTATCCTCATGGATTGAGGCAATCCATGAGCACACTGTAGTTTTGCATCTTATTCAGAGCCATGTGAACTTCTTTTCCATTCATCCCTTGATCTGAATATCATTTGGTGAAATTTCTGGTCAGACATGCTGCCCATTTATTAGTATGTTATGTAAGTTTTTAAAAAGTATTTTGGTAATACCTTGTCAGTTAATGTGTAAATATTATTCAATAGGATCCCTTCTCACATTTTGTTTTGCTGTGTAAAGTAACTCCAATTGTTTGTTTTTGCTTTTATTTCAATTACCTTAAGTGTTGAGTCTCCAGAAACATCTCTGTAATTGTTACTATGGAACGCCAATGTTTTCTTCTATGTACTTTAATTGTTGCAGGTCTTATAGCTAAATCCTTACACCATTTGTAATTTCTGTCAAGGAGTTAGAATCCAATTTCATTCTTTTACATGTGGCATATGACTTTTGTGTTTCTTTTGGTAGAATGGTGCTTTTTAAAAAAATAATCTTTGCTGAGTAGGCTCTATAGAGTAGGAACTTAGTCTGGTTATTGTATTCTCTCCCGTCTCAGCAACATTTGCAGTGGTGGAGCCCCAAAGATTCTTCTACAACCCTATTGGTGAAACCTGAGCAGGAGATCCTAAAAAGTAACCCACAGGACTGAAAGGGAACTAGTCTTGGGCTTTTCACACGGGAAGTATTATAGGGTTAAAGGACCACTCTTGATGGTGCAGTGCTGGCCTGGAGGAGGAACAATACCATCAGAGTAGTCATTCCTCTCACCCTGATGCAGTTTTTCTTGGTTATATGGTAAATGAAGGGTGTTTCAGCCTCACTCCTATGCTTAGGGATTCACTCAGTGGTGTCTCATCTAATGATAGTTATTACTTTACTTGAGGGGAAGGGAGGTCAGCAACAAACCTGGGTTGCCATCTTGGTGAAGTCCATAGTAGGATACTTGTATGAGCTGACATTCTAGTTGGCGTTCATGTCCTTGCCCATAATCATAAAGCAGGCCCTAGCTATGTCACAGAACAGGCAGCAGCTTACACTTCTCAAAGGCAGGTGATTCAACAGTGTGAATGCTGCAATAGCAACATTACCTTTGCCAGGGAACTTGTTAGAAATGCATATTTGTAACATGCTTGGGCTGGAGACCACAGTCTGATTTAACAAGCTTCCAGGTGTTGCTGATGTGGTAACACTGTGGTAAGTGAGCACTTGAGGCCATTTCTAAAGCTTTTATTCAAAACTTTTTCTCTGGAACTGTAGCACTGGGGTCCTGAAACAAACTGGATTTTATAGAATCAGACTAATCCACATAAGGTTTATTTGAGAACATAACATAAATTAGAATTGGGGTAACAATCAAAGGATAAGGTGTGGTCCCTGGGTCAGGGTATTGCTATATAAGCTTAGGTCGTTTGAAAAATTTGGACTGGTTGACAGGTATCTTTAAAACAGAACGTTGTAATTGTGGGCTCTTGGTAGTAAGCAGCAGACATGGATTATCTGTGAAAGGCTGTTCTTACACAAGGAGTTAAATCAGACTGCTTTTCACCTGTACATTTCAGCATGGCCAGATAGAGTAGGGCAAACAGACGGAACAACTGTTGACTGACCACGCGTGGCCTGCACACGCTCTGCTATGGTCACTGTGCCCCCTTTTGGATACTGGAGTATCACACTAGACACAAGAAATGGTGTATGGAGCTTGGCTTCTTATTATCTTAAACGTCTGTGGCTATTTAAAGAATCTAGAATTAGCTTCCAAATTTGAGGATACAATTGCCAGCCAACACCAGACTCAGTAAAAGAAAGCCTGTAAATAAACTATGATGTAACAGCGATCGATAAGCCACTCAGTAACACAGGGTTCCTCACAGAAGTGTATCCAAAACCTTCAAACACCAAGCCTACTCAGGTAAGCCTCCCAAGCAGCTTTTCTATACATCTCAGCTGCTTCCAGTCGATTAGCTGCTGTTAGTATGCCCCGACCTACGATGATGATATCAGAACCTCGTTTGCCAATAACTTCTTGTGGGCTGTTATACTGCTGACCAAGATTATCCCCTGCAAAAAAACAAAAAACACACGTCACTGTTTAACAATACTCAGTTTTCTAAAAAGTGCTAACCTGCTTTATTTTTTTCTATTTCCTTTTGGTATAGCAAGTAAAAAGCAGACTTGCGGTTTATGGTCTGAGCACTTGATGGGCTTTTGGCAGAGAGATTCACCTATGTGTAATGAGGACTTTATTCATATTCACTGACTGGCTTTTCTGGTGTCTATACAGATTTGGATTTAAGTTTCACTAGGACAGCTATTTTAATTCTTTGCTAAGAAGAAAATGTTCGTGTCTCCTTGTGATATAATATCCTGAGATTTCAAGTGGCCTAAAATTGTATTTTTCTGCTTACCCATCAGCAACTTAGAACTAATGTTCATCTTATTTTTTCCTGTCTACTGTAGGTGCTTAGACCAGTAAATGGTAATTTGTGGGAGGAACACAAAGGCAAGCTGCCATCATGGGTAGCAAGATACCGAGGGGCAGGAATATGACACTCTTTATTCTGAGACTTGGCAGGCTGTTGGCGTGCTCGCTGTTCTCCCACCCACCCCTCTGCTTTGGACTTCACCTGGTACAGCCCTTTCAATACAGTATAAGGTGCAGGGGATGCTGCGATCTCAGTGCTGTTCTGTTCCTCTTGGGAACAAAGCAAGGAGTCTGGCAGAGCCGTCTTTGTAAATTATGCAGCATCCTGTAAATGGTTTACTTTTCAAATCCAAGATGTTTTTAATTAGCCCTAAAAGCTTAGTTCTTGAAGGTACTATTCAGTCAAAAGAACTGTGAAGGCTTACAAGAAACAGAGTTGACAAGCCGAGTGCTTATTCCGTGCCAAAACACTGTTAAGGGCTTTAAATACTACAGGGTTGTTTAGCAGCTTTCATGAAATAAAGTGATTGTTAACCCCCTTTTACACACACTAAGATAGAGTAAGAATGAAATGACTTATCCAAAGATATTTCAAATGTGGGGCTAAAAAAAAAGCCAAAAGTTGTTAAGTACTATTATACCAGCTTAGATAGGTGGCTCTTTCTGCTGAAGCCTACTGTGAAGTATATAAAAATCCGTAATGGGAAACCATGTAGAAGACCTCTGAGGTACTTCTACCATTCCTTGATTTATTTGAATTCTCAGTCTATATCTGATTAACCTCGATAGTGTTTTAAACTATGTACTTAAAGCATGCTTTAATGCTTCATAATTAAAACAGCATAAAGATGGCTCCGCATGATTCCTTGCTTTGTTCTGGAGAAACAAACAGCAGGCAGGAACTATAAAGACTGAATACAACATCTCCTGCAGACACACCAAATGAACACCTCTGTATGAAATAATTTCCTCCCCCAACTGCTAGTTGGAAAGCACCTCCACATAAGACGAAAGGCTCACAGCACCCATAGTGGGGAGAGAGAGCTGATGGGTCTGTGCCCAGCTTTGGAAAGCACGGGGCATACACCCAGGGTAGCTAACTGACAAAGAACTTGCAGGCAAACACCCCGGGACCTAAGAGACAGTAACCTGAAAGCACCAGACGGTGTGTGGAGGTTCACTTGCTCAGCCTGATGTGTGGGCAAAAGCCAGTTTGGACTTCCGAAGATGGCAGGCACCAATTGCTAAAACTAATCACAGGTGTGCCCTGGTTCCTAAATTCACCTACAACACAGCTAAGTCTTGGGTACAGTTTACACTGAGAACACCTACTGATCCCCAGATTCTAGTAGCCAGGAGTAGGGGGCCTTGCATTCTGGGCCTTCACATGACTACAATAACCAGAAATGCAGACTCCAGTAGGCTAATACCTTCTCTATACCACCCCCTGCCCCAGTGAAAGGACTCATTTGTTACTGTTCTATAACTTGGGTTGAAAAGCACTTTGGAGAAACCATCATAAATGAACAGATTTACCTCCTGCTTCTAGCTGAACTCCTGGAGTCAAGTGAAGAAATTCTGGTTTCATGCTTACTCGAGAGCCAGAGATAAAGCCAATTACAAATTCAGAATGTTCCTCAGCCATTCTAACCTAAATCAAATGTAATAGGGACAGATTACAAGAACGTAGTTAAAGGATAAAGCTACAAAGTAACTGCTATTTTACAGATGTCCTTTTTATGTATCACTTAAATAAAAACTCCATGTCTAAAACAGATGTTATACCCAACTCCATAAAGACTTGAAGATTACCCTTCCTGCCAATTAGCCATAGCCTAAAAATACTAAAATATCAATACTATATACACCTAAAATCAAAATGTTACATAATTACTTATTTGTAATAACACTGGGGGACAAATTCCAAAAAGGCTTTCAAGTATCCTAGAACACAATGCCTAAGTACAGAGGGTGTACATAACCTTCAATTAAGACAGTTGCAATATAAAAACCACTACCTTACATTTATAGAAGTTTCTCTAGATCTGTTTATCTGACTATCCAAAACACCTAATATTGGTCTTGCTCTGCTTCAGAGTGTTGAGAAATCAGGTTTATGGTTAATTCACAAATGGGACTTAAACTTGACCCTAGGGTCATATGAATTCTTCACAGTTCAATGGACATTATTTGGAATATTATTAAAAATTGCCCTGTCGATTTTTAAGTAGTGTTTAAATTATCTGTAAAAATACTACTATCGGGCCCTCCCTGGTGGCACAGCAGGTTAGGACACAGCGAACCTCTCCTGTCTCACCCTCTGCTCCCCTCAGCAATGTACTTTTGTCGATCTGCCTCCCACTCTGGTGAATCGTCTCACTGCCTCTGCACCAATCTTAAAAAACTACTATCTACCTTTCCATCTTTCTTGGTGAGTATGAGGCTATGAAACTTAGAGGAAAACATGTAAACTCTTTAGTTATTTTATGGGGATGGATATTAATGTATATGCTGCATTAAAACTTTTAACGATAGGAGTTTCTACAGGAAACTGCACTAAGAACACATCGATTAATTGGTGCTGCCTGAGAACGTACATCGCCATGGGACTTTTAAGACTGGGAGTCACTGCCTGACTTTTCAATTGATGGTGAGGAAAAAGAGCTGTGATATTTTATTAATCCATTGCAGTGTTCTCAGAGTACAATTTAAAACTCCCAAGTATACACTATAAGACATAAAATGCTTAATCAGGGAACTCTAGCCAGCTAACATTAATATACTATCACACTGACAGCTGATGTGTTTGGGGGCAGTTTCCAGAGGAAGGTCTCCTCTTCCCCTACTTACTGCAGCTTTCGTGTAGTTCCCAGTGGCCAAGGAGCCCGCGGAGCTCATTTCTGCGATGAGCAGGCACCCCCGGTGCAACGACAGGCCCACTTCTCTCAGGCCTTTCACAACTCCTGAGCCTGGCACCACGTGAGCATTTACTAGGTCAGCCCAGGAAGCTATTTTAAAGACACCACCTGAGGAGGGAAAGAAAGCTATTTGTCAATTTTCAAACAAGTTTTTTGTCTAACCAACTACGATGAAATACTCTAGTAATAAGTTAAGAACTAAAATCCTTATCAGTTTCCCTATGTTCTATCTGTGAAAATTTTATTATCTGGTAGCTAGCTGAGAGATCACAATGAGAAAAAAACCTGTAAGTTCTATACTCTGTATCAATAATACTGATGAGACTGCTTATCTTTACAGGTTGAAGTTCGTGTCCACCAATAAAATTAGCATCTGAAGTGTACTCCGATGAAGGAGGGCATTTATTGAGGATGAAGATAATCAAAATTCTGAAATTCCTCTGAAGATGACAAATTTTCATTCTTCAAGGATCTTTAAAATCTACTTATTCTCTTTAGTTCTTCAAACTTTAATAGGCAATTTATTCATTTTAAAAGTTGACAATAAAAGCCCTAAATTATCTTTGGGGAAAAAAGAAAAACATGTAAACCTGCAAAACATTAGTATACCTCAATTAAGCAACCTGATGGTATGGCCTCTTAAGCACAAGAAAGCCACTTAAAGTAATCCATACATTTCTTAAGCTAGTTCTTTAAGAAAAACCAGGGTATCTCAAAAGACCCACATAACTGTTAAATAATATGATGAAATGTCTACAAGGTTAATTAAAAAAATTAGCTGTACACAATTTGACACAAGCTACATAAGAGGATGGGTGGAGAATTAAGCATTTCTTCTACCCCAAAATATGCCTTACTTTGTTAACATAAAGAGTATATATCAACGGATCTTTTCACACTGAAAATAACGTTTACAATTTTATACTGCTTTTTAAATTGTTTTTAACATTCTTCAAAATATTCAACTTATTTTCTGGCATCAACATATACTTTTTTTGGGGAAACTACTCTCAACCACTTCTACACTTAAGTTCAAACTACACACTACTGGAGATGGGACATTATTTCCCAGACAAGTTAATAAGGTATCCACACTGCAGGCTTGAGTGAGTAGGCTGGAATAAAGGGGTGTGCCTACCTGATAAAGAAGTCAAGAGAGGACAGAGCAGAGTAGAAAGGTGGAGAAGGAGCCAAGTCCGAAAGAGATCACTTAAGCTTCTGGATGTGTGAGGCCTGTCTATTGGCTGGATTTTCAGTGATGTGAGCCAATACATTTCCTTTTCTTCTTCACCCAGTTTTAGCTGGATTTCTGCTTCTTGGAGACTCCTAGGTAACACTTACCTTCATACTGCTTCTTTACTGTGTTCCCTATATCTGCAAATTTTCGATCTTCAAATATCAAGAACTCATGGCGTTTTGCCAGAGTTGTTAACTCCTTCATTGTATCCAGAGTAAAGTCATTCAAAATATCTACGTGAGTCTTGAGCATGCAGATGCTGGGTCCAAGAGCATGTGCCAGCTGTAGCAGCTCTCTGGACTCTGAAACATCAGCAGACAGACACAAATTGGTTTCCTTCTTCTGCATAAGCCTAAGAAGCTTTGAGGCCACAGGGTGGATCCCAGGCAGTTCTGCACGCGCAGCAAAGCTGAGTTCTTTGGGTGCCTTCGTTACTGATGAGAGGGAGCCATTATGGTTAACTGCCACAAAAACATTCTTCTGAATAAACTGCTTCACTCTCTCAACCATGTCAGCATCAATTTTTTTCTGTTGCTCAAGAATTTCTAGCATCTTGGACAATGTACACACTGAGTGGAGACGAATGCCCAGTGCCTGCAACCTGTCCTTGCCTCCTTGCTCTCTGTCCAGCAGCACTACGGCATCAGTGACCTTCAGGCCCTCCTTCTGAAGAGCCTCAACAGTTTCCAAAACACTAGAACCACTAGTAACAACATCTTCAATTATCAAACAGGTTTCACCTGGATTAACGGCTCCTTCTATAAGACGTTTAGTACCTAGAAAAGAAAAAATTGTAGATTCTAATTTAAAAATATGTACTTCATCCATCTCAAGATGCATCTTACAGTATAAATTTGGCATGCATATACCAAGTGGTAAAAAGGTGACCTAAATTTTATTTTCAGATCATTGACTTTGGAGCTACTTTATTTCCGATGAACCTTCAATGTGTCATGATTACTATTATGTAGTGTGTCCTAAATCCGTCGATAAAATATTTATAGTAAAACTAGCAAATCATTTTGCTAGTATAGACTCACATACTTGTCTTACCAGGATTTCAAATTATAGGAATCCATTAAGCAAGCTCACCTTTCAAATTGACTTTGAAATAACCCAATGTGAAACTCCCCTTAATTTTTAGCAACAAATTCCTGACACCTGATTTCATAGTTTTAGTTTTAGAAGTGTTTTGTAAAAAGCAAAAAAAAAAAAAAAAAAAAAAAAAATTCCATTAATCCCTCATTATCTTCAACTATCAAGTCAATTCCAATACTTCAGATTAATTTGTTTCAAATCAAGTACACATTTTAAAACATGTGGGTTACCTGCTAACCATGGGCCCACTAAAAAAAAAAAAAAAAAAACCTACATCTAGAACTTAGATTATATAGTTTTATGAGAGTAAATTTTATTCATGTATTTCTCTCCATGAAGTTTAAATGTAAACATACTGACAAAGTATGTGTTTTTAGAACATTCGGCTCATGAGAAAAAGTTGGTGGGGGGGAAATACAGCACTTTTTTCCTATTGACTAGTCAATAGAAAGCATTTCATTCCTAGACTCCAATGGAAGGTGATTTATGCAACAGTTCACAAATTCCACAGGTCATCACTTAAAGGACTGAACATCAGTGTCTAGAAGAAGAAAAAAATTCTAACAGCATCAGGTTATGCATATCAACTTAATACTACTATAACTTTACCATATTCTTTGGCTTCTTTCCTTCTAATAAGCATTGGAATTTGATTAGTTGAACAAATAACTGTAGCCAAAGGTAGAGCTGTGTAAGGCACTCCACATACAGTGTCAAAGGCGATCCCTGCATTTTGAGCAGTTTGGAATAAAATTTCAGCGATCTGTGGAAAATGAAGACATAAAACATCATTACTGTCTTTTTTTTTTTTTTTTTTTTTTT